CCCCAAAACCCCAAAACCCCAAAACCCCAAAACCCCACTAATCAATAGTAGGAAAAATTATAAGCAAATTATAATTGAAATTAATGTCAAAAAAGCAAGAATCAAAAGGCTGGAGTTTTAACCTTGATAAAGCCCCAAACAAGGAAAACTTAAAAGACCCACTTGGCTTTAAGTCAAGCATTAATGATGTAGTTGTGAGAAACTCTGGCAAGAAAAATGTCACTCAGACTGAAGTGCTAGAAAATGTAAGCTAACTCTAATTTATAAACATCTATAGAAAGCTTGGGAATTCGCAAAGTCACCATCTAAGCAAATATTCGTGACTCTATTTATGTTTTACATGACTGGTACTGGTTTGAGTATTTGGACAATCATGATCACTTGCGCCTTTGTTATGAATCCTCTCAAGTCTATCTTCGGAGTTAATTAAGGTAATGAATATGAATACTTAAACAAATTCTCATATAGCATTTGTCCCGTTTGAGAATAAACAGATCAATTTACTTTTACCAAAACTTACCTATGTGTTCTTTAATGCTGTCATGCTAGCAGGAGCTCTGTATAAATTCTCTAGTAAGATTTAACTAATTTCAATTATCATTTTTAGTAATGGGAATCATTCCTGTAGCTCCTATCGACTGGGTTGGTTTGATCAGTAGTAAAGTTCCAATAGAGCACTCATAGGTCGTAGTTTTCAATTGATTAATTATTGAAAATACACATCATTAAATGATTTTAATGACTTAATGCAGAAAATAATAAGGTTAAGAAAAAACTTAATTAGAATTATAAAGTTAAAATGTTATTAGTCTTAGAAATTATCATATCATTCAATAAAGGTGAATTTTTGAAATTTCTAGCTCATTTATTATTAGCTATATTCTCAGTCATTCATTCTTGAGCTTATCCTCCGTTTCCAGCTGGTCTATTAGTATTGGTTCTTGGCTCTACATTTTAGAATCTCTTCAACTTAAATTCTTATTTCTCTTCCTTGGCCTATTGCTTGCCCTTAATGTGTTCCACAGCTTTTTCATGAGCTTTGGTTTACTTTGGTAACGGTAATCCTTTAGATTGTTTCTTCTAATAAAATTTAAGTTGTAACTAGATACTTACCAATTCATGTTGAATTACGTATTTATCTTAGATTTCTTATGCAGCGTTTTCTCCATAGTGATTGGAAATAACTCCTTGAATTGGGGTAGATGGGCGGTTAGGTTTTCCAAATGCCATTTGGTCAAGAGGGGGTTGGGAGGCATTTCTTTTAGATTTGCCAAGGTCCAATCTAGCATCATTGGTTTGTCTGAACTCTTTAATTTTCTATAATGGATGTAATGAAGAAATCTAAAATATACCTTAGCATCTACTGCACCGTTCTTAATTCCTAACTTATTAAGCTTTTTGAAATCTCTCTCTGGATCTTTTGGTCTGCTCTGCTCGTGAGCTTTCCATGATTGGGTAACTATTGATGCTCCTTCTGGGTCTTTTCTATCTGGCTTTCCGAATGTAAATCCATCGGGTGGGAGATCTCTAGTGATTGGTTTACCTCTTCCCACATCGTCCTTAACGAGTAATTGATTCTTAGGGTTCAAAATCTTTTCCATACTGTTATGAAGAATTTATATTAATTATTATTTTTATCACTCTATTTTATTTCAACTTTTCCTCAGGGGTTTTGGGGTTTTGGGGTTTTGGGG